CAATCCCTGATTGCACACATTGTGATGAGGGGATTATCAAAATAATGCGAGATGGAGATTTAATAAGTTAAGAGTTGAATGTAATTGGTATAGTTAGCAGTAAACTTAGCGACAAGTTGAGCAACAAAGAGAGGATTAATAAGTAATGTTAATAATTCATATTATTGCTAGTGTTACGTATACGTTGTTTCGGAATGCTATTATTAGTTATATTGTTGTTTATTCCTGTTTGTTATGAATACAAGCACGTGTAACTGAATGCGGTTATGAAGTGTGTTCGGATTATTACATGATGGACAACTAAATTTGAATGGGATCCGAGCGAGAGTGCATCAAACAACAAGCAACATGGTCTAGTCCACATAATAGAGCCATAAATGTGCAGTATATTCATGTGCTTCAAATTATAGATCAATTCGTCAAAGATCGTTTAATGTTTTCTTGAAAACGGGTTGACATGCATATATATGAAGGGAAAAAGGTAAATAAAGAAGCATATGAATAATTAGAGTACCGAATAAGGGGAATGACAAGCCTATTACAGGACATCGGGTATCGAATATCGAGTATAGAGTATTGGATAGTGGAGAAAACTAACAGCCAATCCAAGTAGCACACTTGCCTACTCAACTAACTCTCTTTATCACTAATCCCGCCGCCTTCGACCGAGGGAGATTTATTTGAGAACTAAAAGCTTACTTAGTATCGTATTTGTTATTCTTGCAGACTGTGGGTGAATTAGGGTTTCCAATAGTTTATTCGTTCGTAATAACAGATGACAAACAATCAATCACGAATAGCAATTAAAGAAATTTGACAGAACACAAATGACAATATTTGGCTTTCTCTTGATTCCGATTGTTTATCCGATTCACATGAAAAAGATTGATATGAAAAACCTGATCTGCAGAAAGCGAAAGAAACTGAATACGCAAACGTAGAAAATAGAAAAATTAACAAACCTTATCTAACATATGTATATCTTTGAATTGATAACGGCGAATTGCTGTATGCACAAGGAATATTAAATGAATATATTGTAAGGGCTCTTCAGCTGGGGCGCATGACACAAGAATGGGGTGGGTGAACTATCAATCAGTGCAACGAATGTGCAACCTGATATTCGTCAGTTTGACAATGGTTACAGTAACTATCCTTATCATTATACATGTGTACTACGATTCTCACATTCTCTCTATGGTCTTCTAAACAGATTCTCTCTCTCTCTTTTTTTTTTCCCTCTTGTATTGCAAGATTGTTACGATACACAAAAACTAAAATACAATCGTTATTGCTATGTCGAAAAAAAGAAAACAAAAACAAAAACAAAAACAAACGAACAGGCTCATACCAAAATCAAAGACCAAAAGAAAATCAGCCGGGAAAGGGGAATATTACTGATTACAGTTAGTTCGTGAAGCAATTATAACCCGTTTTAATCAGCCTTAAAATAATTATTTTTTTGTTTAGCCATTAAAAGAATTGCAGGTGTCTGCGCTGTCTGCAACGAGGCATTCGGCATAAAAGTCAAAATGTTGTTCGTTATGCTTATCAAAAAAGCCGATCAGAAAACAATTGCCATGATACAAATGAGCATGGTAATGGCGCCACAGAAAGATTTAGGGTTCAAAAACTGTTGAACACCAAGAAGGGCTTACCCCCATGTTCCTTTTTCTGCTTTATACAAGTGCCAAATTTAAAAGTAACGAATCCAGATTAAAAAAACTGCATTAAATGAGTCTCGTTTTTGCTGGTAGAAATAGTAGCAATTAGGTCTTTTCACTGTTGCAATCCACACATGTACGGTTTGTTTCGCTTTGAAAATTTCCTATTTTTAATCACATTACTAAAGTTTTATTTTACGATTAATTCTGTAGCTCAAACCTTCATTCTAATAGTAAAATCAAAACATCAATCGTTCATTGAACAAAAATCCCAGTTTATGGAAAAACTTGGTAAAATTATGAATTGAAATTTCACAAGAAAAAGCTTTACCAATAAAAAACCAATTCTCAAGAACGCGTTTATAAGATAAAATCACAGTTAATATTTATTTAAAAAAACTTATATAACGTTTGGATAAATTATGAAACTTTTTGATAAGTTGCTGCATTTCGACTCTTGGAAAAGAAAACACTATATAAATTGCATTATCAAAACCAGCCGACTCTCGATTTAAATTATAGGTAAAAACTTGCGCATAATGACTATCCAAGTGTTAATAATGATAATGATAATAATACTACCGTCTCTTTTGATAAAGATGACTGGCACAACTATATTATCACCTTGCAAATCCAAACGCGTTAGCAATAAGCGATAATAATAAGTAGTAATAGAAACCGCTCAGTCGCTGTCAAGCCCGCTATGAAACTTATCACTATCTTTTGCCTCATCAATGGCGAGTTGACAAAAAACGCCTTTGCAGTTCATGTCACGAGAAGTAAAGCAGTTGACCACCTAGGCCAAACAAAGAAATAGTTTTCTGGGTTGCGCTAGCATTAATGCCAGCAGATGGTATGAAGCAGTTTGACTGGACTGGGTAGAGAAACATCCAACAAAATAGATAAGAAATGTGTTTTCCACGTCTCTGTCTGATGAGCATGTACAGAGATAAAATTTTAAGTAAGCTATTTTATGTCTTGAATATTCAATAAATGTTCAAGAAAATTGTTCAATATATTGTTGGATATTAAAAAACCAGAGTATTAGTACATAGTACAGATAACAATATGGCCTATCCTACTGTATCTGCAAAACATTATGCGGCAAGACTGAGTTATGCAAAATAAACCCTACATTATGTACGTATTTATATGAGTTTGATTGTCTACTAAAAGTTGCTTAATGTTAACATAGTCTAATACCCTTTAATATTAATTGGGTTTTAATAAATACAACTGATTCACTGTGTGTTTTCTACATAAATTACACAAGCTTTTATTTCAAGGTTCTGATTTAGATCTCCCCCTAGTAAATTTTTACTCAAGATACAGTTGCTTAAACTTGTATGTTCTCTATTTCTTGCACTACACAGTTTAGAGACCAGACAATTAACTCTAGGTTTTGAATGCTTACTTTGTAAATATATTTTCTTTGTCCAGAGTATTACAGTCTATTACATTTGGGCTTTAAAAAATCCATAATCAATTTTTAATTGACTTATATTAATATATGGGCCAAGTTGGTGTGTGTAGTTTCCTTAATTAATTAGATAAGTTAGTATGATGGTTAGCCCTCGTTATATCAAAGTGGCCGGGGGCATCCATGATTAGATATAAGAGCGATTCGGTATAGTGAAATACCTCTATGTAACAAAGCTTAGGCCTAAGATTACGCAATATTCGTAAAATAAGGCTTTTGTAAAAATGGTTATACTAATAACAATTAATCCATTCGAGTTTGTTTTTGGTTTGCAATACTATGCGATTACGTCTTTCTCTTTAATGCACGAAAGGCTTGAATTTATCTTAGATTACCTTGCGTAATTGCGAGTATTATAAACATAATACGATTAAATTATGATATACACTAAAAAGCTATTAGTTAACCTATGTATCGATAATATAACGCAATTTACTATTAAATTCGTTATAGCGAGAGAACTTTCTATTTAAAAAACGGGGAAACCACGATTACTTTGGACTGTAACGGTAATTGAGATAGCAGATAGGTAAACTCGATTAGTTCGGACAGCCATGCCCAGCCAGTCAATAGCTATACTTAGATTGTGGATAAATTACTCACATCTAATTTCTTATGCCTTTTAATAAATCTGTTAGATAGGACACACCGCTAAATGACATGCGAAGCATTCACAATTGATCGATGGGTTCAAAAAACACGTAACAGCACAAACGCGAGAAAGTGACATCATTGTTTAGTATAGCTTACTAATGACATCATTGGTACTAATAATAGTAACCCCTTTTTTGTTCTCCCTCCGTGAACAACGTTAAACAAAAATGTGTCATTCCCGAACGGTAGTACAGACCTGGATGGAGAACATTCTACAGAAAAGCGAACAAACATTTCGAGGGTGTATCCCCCATTAACCAGTTACACGGATATTAATTCGAAAGTGACAATAATTAATAGTTAGTAATGCAAGAAAGACTGGTAGCTCAGTCCAACCAAGAAAGCAACCAATTAGCTTTTTTCTATATCTTCGCTTCTCTATTTAGTTAACAATCTACTCGCGCAGGCCTGTTGCTTGAAAATTTATGTAAATTCCCTCATAAATTGGTTTGTTTTGAACATTTCTGAATTTATGCGTTATAACGATTCTTATATCAATAGTCTTAATCTTAATCGGTCGCGTTTCCTTTTCGTTAATAACTCATATTACACCTTATCTGGTTTTGGTTGTTTATTTTTAGCTTACCTGTTTGTTTGTGTTTGCTGGCTATTTTGTTCTTCTGCTCAGATGCCTATTTAATTACTGTATGCTGGGCAGATTAGTTTAGTAATAGACGCTTTTCAAGTCAAAGCAATTACTTATTGACGTAGTAATTTCTTGGGGGTTCAATAGTTAATTTCTCTCCTTGCCGAATGTTTCTTTCGTCAATTATTCAGCATATGTCCTTAGAGTTTAGCATCCCCATAAGACTAAATCAATATTTTTGGGTTCGACATTTTCATAAGTACCGCTAAGATTTTTCTTGTTCAAAAGCTTTGATGTTTATTTTTAGTCGCGTAATTTAGTCTCATTTTCATTGGAAAGAATTACGTTAAATATAGCAGCCGACCAAAAAATAACTGGGGAGGTGGTTTGGCACAGAAAAGAGTGTTGGGCGTATACACCTTGCGATACAGGAGCCGACTACAAACATTACCAAGTCTTAACTACGCAGCAAGACTGTTTTGCTCTTAATTTAATATTGGCCACTTGTACTCGAACGAGGCAAGTATAAAGTGTAGGTGGACGGAATCCATTTTAATGTCTAAAATTAAAATTATTATTCCTATACACATTAATATTTACAGATGGTAAAAATTTCTTATATCCATGGTGTCCATCCTTCATATAGGACACATAAATTATTAACATCAGTAGCCGATTGAATAATCTTGTCAACCTACAAGTTTAGAACAAAGTGAACTGTCAGCATAGGCTGGTGATGACTACAACCCTTTATCCAAAACATCACCTGCTCAGCAATAGTCATCGTGGATAACGAGTCGAAATCACGTCCTTCAAGTTTATCTTTAACGCGTTTTAATACTGATACTGCGTACGCGTTGCGAACTTCGGCTTTTTAGAGATGCAAACAGAATACAGTGTTAGCATACTATCGTGCTCACGAATCACGGCGGTATATCGATATCCAAGCACACCAGAAGTATTTTCTCACTTACCAGTCTCATCTATTAACGCGGAATCAGGCTGCTGGCTCACCGCTTCGGACTGTTTCTTGTTAGCATGCGGTTTTATTTTCTGCAAAATAAAAAGGAATGATATAAAGATAACCGATGATATATCGTATACAACCCATGATCAAACAACATAATCCAAGTCCCAAAAACATACCTCGCTAGTATCCTCACATTCGTCGTTGTCCTGTTCACAAAATTCCCTTCCCTTTCCCTTCCTTTTCCCTTCTCTGTTCATCCCAGAAATCTCCATCTCCCTGTCTAACTGCAATGTATCCTCATCCATAACAGTGATCTTCTCAGATGGCACGCGGAATGTTTCAAAGTGATCCATCGAGTTTGTTATTGTCTCTATAGGGCTCACCTAAAGTTGTAACAATAAGAGAATATTAATAAAGTAATAATAATGGATATGGTAAGTCATCAATAAAATTCTTTCTATTTTCGCTTTATAAAATAGTTCTTGATTTTGTTTGTCCTCTCCCAGATTTACATACCCTCTCAACGTCTTGGGCAAAAAACAACTGCGAGCTTGCGTCCGCCTCACCAAACTCCTGCATTAAACCTTTTGTATCTATGTTATCTTCGTTTATTTCCTTGTCCTCAAACCCTGGAGATTGATGAAGAGAAGAGGCAGTAACGCATTTTGCAGACGTTCTTGTTACTATTCGATTCACCTCATTCTCGTTCACTTCTTCTGTTCCCATTTCCACATCTTCTGTCACTAATCTCTCATCCAACTGCTTCTCTAGGATCAAAATATCTTCTATCCTTCCTTCCATGTTCTCAAATAACCCTTTCATTTCTTTGACTTTTGGTACTAGCAACCCAGCAGATTCCTCAAATTCCACAGCAGTCTTGTCTCTACCTTCATCCGAGTGCCAATCGAGTAATGGATCATAAACAAATGCTTCAAGAAGCATGACAAGAATTTCGCCGTTAGCTCGGAGAACACGTAAGGTATCCTCGCATGCGATACGAAATACTCCTTCAACACCTGTTATTCCAAGCGCAGACACTATATTTTGCGTTAATCTACACGGAACAGTTTCCGGCACTCTTAATTTCTTTCCTTTCTCAAAACAAACATTATAGTCTATATGTATAACTTCTCCTCTCTCAAAATCGACAAGTATATTATCTAGATGCCTATCTCCTAAACCGATGATATATCCAATGATGCTCATGACAGCAATCGATCGACTCAATGAAATTGATTTTTGCAACCAGGAGGTAGGTGTCGTGGACGAAGACCAGAGCTCATTAGAGAGAAGATCTGAAGGAGTAGAATTGAGTAGGTCGAGGTAGGCAGTCCTTAGGATAGATTTCGGCCAATGCTTGCGGGATATGGTTGGAGGCAAGCCTTCCTTTTTGAGCAACTTACGAATCTTTTCGTAGTATATATCACTAGGACGCTGAAGAAGGGTATTGGCGATGGTTGTTGCGACTCCAATATTTGTTGTGGCAGCGTTGGCATTTGTAATTCCTACGCTTGCTTGCCCCTCTGGGTGCCCACTATTTCCAATAAGCGTCTTGACAGAATATTCCCTCTGTTGCCACTTTTTATACAATACAAATAGCTGCACAGCATTCTCGACCCACTGAATCATTCCCGAATGCTCACCTAGGGGCACAACTGCATAAAATCTGGCATTTAATCCTGCTTTCCTACCCCGCTTATCTCTTCGCAGCAAACAATTCGTAATCTGTAACCCTCGCATAATTCTCTCATCCAAATGCATGTCTTCTAATCCTTTAAATAAATACGCATATGTATTGCCATCCGATCCAATTAGATTAAGTTTCTTTGGTTTAGTTTTTGTGGGTAATACGTGAACCGTGTCTGAGAATGAATAAATGGTGAGCGGGGACGAGGTGGGAGAGAAGGAAAGAGATGAAGGAAAAGTGGGAAGAGGAAGTGACGATGAATGAAGGGAAGAAAGATATGGTGAGAGAGAAGCAAGTGGAAGAGCCCGAGCGGTTTGGATTTGCTTTGTTAGATCTCTATGGATCTTAAAGAGAAGATGAAACAAAGATTGCGTAAAACCAAGTTTTAAGCGTTAGTTGAATTGACATGTATCAGATTGCGCAGCATCATTTTCTTTTTACGCCTACACCCAAATCAAAAGTTACAAATTTACTCACTAGTTTAAACAAGTCCCATCCTTCTTTGACGCTGTCCCATCGTTTTGGACTTTTCAATCTGTCATATGCTTCCCTTATTCTCGAACCAAAGCTATCTAAAAACCACTTCTCATGGTGTGTAGTCGCTCTGCTTGTAATAGACAATAATCTATCGAATGAAACAATGACAGGTTTCATTTGAGCATCATGAGTCTCTTTCATTATCTGGTCTTGTTCGGCAGGAGTCAAGTTGAGATTATCATTAATGCGTTCGAACTCGGCGTTGACTTTGTGTAGCCGCTTGGAAATGTCAAATTGCAGTGATGTTATTTTATTCAACCAGAGTTCTTCCCAAAGCACCGTTATTCTTTGTAATTCCTTGATTACCATCTTTGTTTCTTCGATAATCCTCTCGTTCTTTTGCTTAATCCTCTCCATGATTCTTATCAATAATATTCTATTTCCTTCACTGACTCTTTGCGCCTGCAGTGCTACGACTGTATGATAGACCACCGCGTGTGGTTCATTCTCTGCTATTTTGCAGAGTAAATTACATAGTTCGTGTCGGACGAAAGAATCATGGTGGGTTAGGCGAGAGAATAATTGTGGGATAATGGGAAGCCAATGATGTGTGGTAGTTGCGTGGAGGCCGAACGAGAGGAATGATCGTAGAATTGGACCGTAAGTTACGAGAAGATTGAGAATGCGCAGTGTTGAGATTAATGCATCCGCTTCCGTTATGCGTGTAGGCGACTAAATATGGAATAATAAGAAGTTTGAACATATATATCAATAATGGAGAAATGTAATCTATGATTTCTTTACCTTACTGTAATGATTATCATAATTACAGTTTTCTTTATTATTTTCTCCATCTTCATGCTTGTCCTTAGAACTGTCAACATTTTTACCATGTTCCCCATCGCTCAACTGCAGATACTTGTGATATCCATCCACAGCAGAGCTGAACGAGCGCAAAACTTGTAGTTCTAAGTCAATTAGAACTCGATGAATCGTGCTAATAGTATCTGGGGATGACAAACAGTCAGTAATTCGTTGCAATGATTGCTGCGTTCCGTGTTCCTGTTTGTCTGATTGTTCCTGTTCTTGTTGTTGTAGAATTGTCTGATTAATATCTCCCCTGAGTGACGTAACCGTTGAGAGTGGCGTGTAAGAATTGAAGTATTGGAGGAAGAGTGTGAAAATAGACTATATAAATTTAGGATGAGAGGGGTAAGCATTACTATGAATGTAAGTACAATATATTACAATTAATGCGGCTTCACCTTAAGTATTAGATCGAAATGAGGCATATCTTTATCCACATTAGCATCAATGTTTTCCCCTACAATTCCTTCATGCATATTCTCTTCGTTCTTACTCCAATCACTGAAACATTGTCTCAACACGTTTGCAACACTTTTCACCACTTCCGTCATCCGAGTTCCGTTCTTTATATCATCTAATATCTTCCACCCATAGTGGTATTGGTGTGTAGCATATATGAACCAGGGTTTCGCATAAATACTATTGTTGAGAGAGATTGCATTCGTCAGAGATGCAAATATAAGGGAGACTCGAGTGCTAGTATCAAGGGAAGAGTTATCAGCCGCATTAAAATTAGTGGTAGTGACAGTGCTAATCTCAGCGTTAATACTATCATTATTACTGCTTTTAATGTCTTCGATGAGTGCATTTCCATTACTATTCAACACATTTTGCAAACTTATCATTGTCTCAGGATCGATATCATTCCTATAGTTCTCTAACCACTTGGCCAGCTTTAAATACATTTTCTGATGAAGCTTTTGTTTTTCTGACATTACATCCATCAAATAAATATTATTATGCAATGTTGTGGGGATTGCGTTATTCATTACACTCTCCATGATGTTCCCTTTTACGGTTCCCTCCTCGTTCAGTCTCTTAAGAGGCATAAGCGAGCAAGTTTTACGAATAGCCTCTATACAATTATTCTGTTCATACAAAATCTTTGCTTGCTCAAAAATAATCTCGACAGGGATAGCATCGTCGTTACTCTTATAATGTCCAAGTAATTTCATAGCTTTCTTGTATGCACGAGACTTTCTGGCAACCTTCGCAGTGATGTATCTTATTAAATGCACATAATTTGCATTAAGACATTTTACATTCCCTTGTTCTTTTCTTCCCCATTTTCCATCTTTGATCTCTGCAACGCCTTTCTCAACAAGTCGCTCAAGATTTGTCCAGACATCAGTATCCGAATCAAACAAATCACCGAAATACGAGGTATGTCTTATATCTACGTTTTCAGCAAAATTGTCGAAGAATGATTTGAACTTTGAAGGATCATGTGGAAGTGCGTGTGAAAAGTTTTGAGAAAGAATAGGATTAATGGAACGAGTCGTTGGCGGAAGAAAACGTAGTGAAGAGATAATATTGGGAATGTTTGAATCCGGTGAAATATTAGTAAAAGGAGAGGTAAGTATGGATGTATTTGACGTAATAGGAAGAGATTTCGCTCCCATTGTCACAGATGCTGTTGGCGATGAGGATCTTGCCACGGGTTGTTGAAGATGTACGTATTTTAATCGATAAAGCCATTCAATAAGCCTTATATCATTTGGTCCCTCATACAATTCCTTAATAACGCTCATGTCTTCTCCAAATCTACCCGTTTCTTCGCCTGTTTCCCATTTTCCAAACACATCTGCCGTATACCACCGCTCCAATTCATCTAAATATTGCCGATTCTCCTTAACCAACGGGTGCAGCATACTGTCTTCTATTTTATGCTCTTTTATCCATTCGGACAAAGAAGACATGTCATCGAGTTTTATATAGCAATTAATAATATTGGATGTTACGAACTGGCTTATTAAGCGAATTACACTCCGAGAATTAACTGCATCCTGAGCTTGCCCCGAGTTATCTCTTCCTTCACGCCCCTCTTGTGCATTTTCATGTTCGAATAATTCATTCAGTACTTTTGTGGCTTCAGTGATCGATGCCTCGTATTCTAGGTAAGATGTCCGTATTGAAGGACTCATCCAAGTAAACATAAGCGACGCGGGTATAGGCCAGGAGCGAGGAAGTGGTTTGCGTTGGAGCAGTGTGCGAGTACAGGGTTGAGCTGTGGGAGTAGTACTAGTCGCATCCATATTTCCACCAGTAACAACAATGCTAATATTACCACCATTTTTTCTTGTACTTTTCTCATCGATATTCTTCACACACCATTCTTTCAATCCGACAACCATATCCCCTTCCTTTAACCTCTCCAAACTTTCTACAACATACATGCAGACCGTTTGAAATTCATTAATATAGCTCAAGGATAAACTCTGCTTATTCTTTGCGGTTGTCAAGTTATTAATATCATCTCCCTGTCTGACATGCCCTCTATCACCCGTTCCACCTTTCTCTCTCTCGTTCTCCAGACCTCCTTTTTCCTTATCCAACACCCAACTCTTCTCCTTCAAATAACTAATACCATGTCTTACAACCATCGCATCATCTCCAACCATTCTTGCCCCTTTCACCAGTCCAAATCTCACTCGACTGAACCAGTCCCCACATACTTTCTCATTTGTACGGAAGAACAAGATACTTGGTCGAGGGGCAGGTGGGATGATGGAGAGCGCGGTGCCGGTTGTGGCATTGTGAATTTGAAGTTCAAGAAGAGTAAGTAGAGTTAATAGTGCACGGAGGTTGGCAAGATGGGCGGTGGGAGTTGATGGTGAGGAAGAAGGAGAAAAAAAAGCGCATTCGTCAAAAGCAGACGCGCGTACGTTTGCACCCGAAGTGATACCACCGTCACTGGCTATCTCAGCACTGGTTATGCCCTCACTTCTCTCGATTTTACTAGCTTCATTTCCATCATTGCCTAGTGTATTTCCAATACTATCAAGTAAGCCGTTTAAATGTTTCTCCAAACAATCAAATGTCTGCTTCGGACCTCCGAATGGCGTGCGTAGTCGTGATAATATACAATATCTGGTCGATTCCCAAAGCGACCAGAATGTTAGCAAAGGTATCGAATTTGCAATCGTTGAGGCAAAGATGGGATAAGTAAGTGCGGTATCGTTTGCAGTAGGTGTAGTGATGGTGTCAGAATTATTATTTGTAGGACCGTTTCTGATATTATTGTGACTTGCGCTATCGCTGGACCTCCCCTTCTGATTCACTGGCTCGAACGTTACTTCTGACTGACAAGAATAAAATAATTTCTGCAGCCATTCTCCATTATTTGTATTCTCAGATGGATACGAATCGTGCAACGTTGCCGAGTCTGTTGTTGACAAGAAATCTTCCATTCCCAAATGAGCCATTAGTATTTGAAAGTGGCGAGGGCGGAAGTTGCCCAAGTGAGGTGTCGAGATGATTGTTGACTTGAAACGAGAGGTAAAGAAAGTTTAAACCTCATGTAAATATATGTTCAACGAGTATGACAACAATAGAACAAACCGGCCGGTTGAAATCTGTTGTACTTACTCTGATATCTTCATACAGTGTATCCGAATATTCGTTACGTTGAAAGGCAGTATATAATGGATTAATACTATATAGCAGCTTTGCATACTCTGTTTGTACTTTAGGATCAACATCCGCAATTCTACACCGAGACAGTGGATTTGTTAGCAATAAGTAATACAAACAGTGTCCATTGTAAACGCCAATCTGTTTGTCTAATCATCGCCTAACGGTTCTATCGCCTTACCTGTGCCATATTCCAACAACGATGCTTTCTTTAACAGAAACAGAGCCAAACACTTTAAAGTAATCTCTTACTACTCTGGCCACAACTAGCCTAATCTCTCTATCCCTCGCTACTTCCGATAACCTCGTCAATGCATCCAACACTGTGTCAATATGCGCTTTCGCATCCGTTCTTATATATTTTTGTGTATCCTTCGTTGCATTCTCTGTCAAATCTGCTTTCACCCTCGTTTCTTCATTATTGACGTGTTTGATTATATTTAAAAACCAGTCGATAGTTAATAAGATAATATTTATGGGAAAGTTAACGTGATTAATAAAGATTGAGGAAATAAGGGAAGTTATAGTGGAAAAGGTTGGGTAATTAGATGCGTGAAGGTGTGAGAGAAAGTAAGAGCAACTACATACATTATATGACAGAAAAAAGCGATGAGTAAAAATACACGAAAATAAGATCAAGCCAATACTTCTTCCAATAGACGTACGGATACTGCTTATTCGCCAGTCAAGACTTACCTTCGCGAAACACTTCTCATCGTCTTCATCGTTGCAGTCATTAGAACTGTATCAAAGTATGCGCATTTATTGATCTTCTCGAATACATGAAGTAAAACCGAAAACACCTCCAGTTCGCGATTCCACGATCTTGCGATTTCGGATAACAACTCGAGATCGGTGACCAGGACCAAGGATGCTGGGTCATATTACGATGGAATAGTTGGAATTAGGATAAGCTACAGTCACGTATAATTAGATATTTATTTACTTTACCGATTGTTCTATTAACTGTCTCGTCGATCGTTTTACCGATTGCCGTAGAGTTCTCTTTATCATTACTCTTCTTCATTTCTTGATGTACATTCAACTCTCCAACAACTTTATTCTCACTTTCAGCGTTAACTTCATCTCCATTTCCTTCTTCGGGTACCTCCTTATTTTCGTCATTTCCAACAACCAACACTATTTTCTCCTTCTTTTCATTTTCTTCTTTCTTTGATCTTCTCCTTTTCTCTCTTTTCCCTTCTCGATCTTCAATTATCAGCTTCATCATGCAATAAACTTCATTCTCCAACTCGCTTATTATGTTTTTCTTTCCAACGTCGTCCGTCTCTATCATGTTGTTTTGATTTCTAAATAATATCCGAAACATCTCCAATATATCTGCAAATAAACGAGTATTGCGAGGGTGATGTATGCGGAGTTGCTGGAGTTTAGAGTTGGGATGGGCAAGGGTAAATAAAATGTCTGGATGAACGACAGGTATCCAGTTAGATAGAATCTAATTTGAAGGAGATGGAGATAGATGAAAAGAAAAAGGTTAATTGGTTACATAGTTTAGAACACATTTCATGAAATGGTATTACTGGATAAATCTAAATACTCACCTGTAACAAACCATCAAACCATTCATCTATTTGTCGGCCAGCTAAGGTTTCGTCCTGAGTAACTACTAACTGATTCAAGTAGAAAGTAATTGCAAGCGTTTGTTGATACACGGAAGCTGTTTTTCTATATGCACTCAAGGAAATAATTATTTGATTCCCTAAAAATACGAGTAAGCAATACATAGATATATATTGTTCAATGAATTACACCAAAACGAGTGATAACCAAACCGCCAACCCTTTCTTTTCACCTAATCTTGCTCAGCCATCTCCATCAGCATTTTTAATTTACCTTTCCGTAACCAGTCGGCATCAAGATGCATATTAGCGACAGTATTTAAAATCTTAATTATCCAGGCATGCAATCTGTCGAAAGGGTATGAATTATCATCTACTCCAGCTCCACAAGAATGTTCCGTTGATTGTGCTGGAACAACTCCGCCAACTGCATCAGCAACTGCATGGAAACAGCTAAACAAAAAGACGATAGATAAGTGATAATACATGACAGAAAATAGGATTTCTTTTTGATACGAGATGGACAAAGCATCGGATTGTTAGGAAATACGTAAATCCCTTGATTTTATTACCTTAACAAGGCCTTAACATTACTCGAAATACCATTCTTATTATCCTTATCGCTTTCTTCATGGTCGCTTTCATTCTGCTTTTCCTTCCCAGCATCAGGTAATATGGACAGTCCAAGTTCAACCTCCATATCAGTTAGGAAATGACTCATAAGTTCGAAGGCAAACTCAAGATTACGAGCCCAACACGGCCGTAGTTTAATGAACGTTTCTAAAGTAGAGTATTAATGAAATATATGTAATAAATGACTAAATGATAAATTGAGCAACAATAAAAGATTGTGACTTAGATAAATGACAAAGCGATCCTTGAATACATCAACGCCAGATACATTTTGTGGGCGATTACCTGAAATTAATCGATGCAAATTGTCAGAAACCGAGGTATCAATATGCCATCCTACAAGAAGATCAATTATATCCTACTTATAAAAACATTACATTAATAACATTCGTCAAGAAAAACTCTGCTCATTGTCCGTTCTTTTCCCCCATTCTCTCTAATATTCTTACAAACCTGGAATCTCTCACAAAATTCGTTCGGATACTTGTCAACAATCTTCTCAAGCACTTCGAGAATACCCGGGAAGCAATCTACACATGCCATCGAATCTAGAAGAGCTTCGACATCGATTAGGATGGACGGGATTAGAGGTTGGAGTATTGATGAAGGTGGGTGAGAAGATGAATGGGCAGGACGACTAAGGAGCTTTTTGTCAAAAAAAAAACGAGAATTAGTGACTGAGTGAAACGGCCTCCAAGTACTAATATTCCTGTTCGCATTCTGGCATTCCATACTGAGTTTGTTGACAAAGTCTCATTGCTTGCCAAAATCATAAAGAAACTGATCAATATATTCCATCTTCCATCACCAGCCATCCCTTTTTATCAAAGATAAGACATACTTCGCGTAAAGAAGCGACTATCCATGTCTTTCTCTCCTTGTCTCTATCTCGATTCCCGCTCGCCGTTACGTGTAACCGTTCAAAAGTCCAGCGTAGGTATAATTCGATGTCATCCTTCATGTTCAGAGCTACCTGAGCAAGAAACTTGGACAAAAGTAGACGGGTGTTTGATGGAGATCTGGAATTATAAGAAGGAAGAGGGGAGGGTGGAAATAGTAGATATAATTGAAATCGTATTCAATGGAGGGTTTTCATGGATATGTTTTCGTAGTAAATACTGCTAAATACACCATACGTTCATAAAGGTCAAGGATTTTTCTCACCTTGTATCTTCGAAAAGACTTTCTATTGTCGGCATTCCGCCCGTTCCTTTCGTCATGCTTTCGAATAATTGATTTGCCTCCCATGTTGACATTGATTCATTTACCATGTTCGACAATTGATTCAAAGAGTTTGTGCGGCGAGTGTAAAGCGATTCATTGTCGTCACGGATGCGAGACAATAAGCTTTGGATGCGGGACAACTTTGTTGAATCTATAGGAGAATCCGGTATATTAATCGGGAGTAGAAGGGAGAATTGGTAATCCGATACGAGTTAATTAAGGTGGTTACTGTTGACGCGTTCACTGTTTATCTCTCTACAGTAATTCTACATATCTAACCTCGAATATCCGTACGATGTTCTCCATGTTGTGGTAAGTTCGCTTGGTGATGATGTCTGTGATGTGGCGCTCTACGCGGATATCTACCAACTGGTCTTCTTCCTCGGCTAGAGAACATTATCTGATCTGGAATTGTAGGCAAAAGAATGAAATGATGGGAATGTGTGACGCATCTATAATCACGTGTTGTCAAATATTCACGCCTTGCATTTACAATTGAGATAGTGAAGTTATCGGATTTGTTAACAAGTGAACTGCATGTATTCTGAAACGTTACACTAATATTGATTGTTCTCCTTTACGGAAGCAATATACAATATGTCGCCATATGACAAATATCCAAGTTGGTTTACATTTTAAACGCTTCTCACCCTACTTGACACGCGATAACACACTGTATTCGAATTTACAATATGGTATTGAATTGGAGAATGCTACGAAACATAATTTGTTAAGCTCCATCGAGGAGATTAACATCAGCACATGGCTATAATCATTTATACATAAAAAAATAATAACGACACATGAGCAAAAGCAAACATTCGGACTATTAATAATTATATGAACGCATACTCTATCCAATTAAATCAACAACGCCCTGGATTATTGCTACCTTAATACATTAGCACTAGTATTATAAATGATGCCGTTTTGCAGTGCACAGTCCGTTACGAATTCTGCTTTAGTCTTTACATTCTCATAGATTAACTTTATCCAGTTTTTCCGATTGGCTATAATATTTCCCTGCATGCGTTTCCCTGTATCAAATCGGATAACCGATAAAATTTTTACTTTTGGCTGACACATTCGCTGGTTCTGTTGGCCTTAACGTCAATAAAGCTGATCGAAACCTATCACAGATATACCGTAGACAAACATACGGCCGAATAATCGGTAGAAATAATCAGTAAACCCTCTAATAGAAATGATTTGTCCACGCGGACACAATTGTAATAGTCATACTGTTTTACTGGCTTAAATTTGTAAGTATATCGAATTACTGGAAAAGCCGATCGAATAAGTAACTGCATATGTTCTGTATCTTGGTTTTTTGATTTATGTGTTCCCCCAAAAACTGTGCACATTTTTATGTAGCGATAGGGGATTGGTCTCCAAAAATAGCCTCTTTCCCCAGAAATACATATATTCTAGCCACTAACTGTGGATCTTACAAGACGATTTGCATGCACATAAAATGGATAGAATATGTGGTACTAAAGGATCATTGTAATCCAGACGTGCATATTTCCGAATATACATGTTGGGGCAGTCTCGAATTGTGTTGTTATCGGAAAATAAGCCATTACTATAGGCGATCAACGGATTCACCAGAAACAGTAACTGCATTAGTATTGCAATATGGTATGTGCAATATGCAATATGATGAGCAAGAATATGATAGAACAAGTCGTAATAAACCGATTTTTAAATATGCAATAACAAAAATACCAAGTTACGCCAAATTAACGTTTACCCAAGTCTAGCACAACAATCGACGAAATTGTCAAAACCAGTTATCTTAGCTTCTGTGTTGATTACTTTCCGGTATATTATTGAAGTATTAAAGAAACTCGATGGAATGCTGATCGTCTTTTTATTATGTGATGGTTGCTTGCCATATTTTATGTAAGTCGTAAAAATAAGGCCCAATAAGTTTTTTAATTTCTTTATCTTAAACATCAAATTACCAGACATATAATAACAGTTGACTTTGCGAGATTTCGGTTAGGCGTAAAAAATAACCGAATACATATAGATATTCTTTGCCTTTTACCATTTCCTGTAATGTGCAATGTTGCTTGGACGCTTATTCTGTAATAGCAGTCTCGGCCGCGTAGAATTATCACTACATGCAGTTGCTGTTGAAGTAGCTTGAAAATAATCATTAGAATCACATAGACAACGTCTCTATTTGGTCAACATAACCGATTGTTTTACTGCAACACTTTTGACACGAACATATTTGATGTTGATCGGATTAATTTTCTTAGCCAGTTTGAAAAATTTACGTTAACAAGTTTATATCAAATCTACTTTTTACAATAAAAAACGATAATAATTTCTGTAATCTATGGAGGCAAGTTTTCACAAAACATGCTCTATTGCTGTTATATATACTTATCCCACACACATGATACGGCTTTTAGTTAAGACTTGCAAACGAAGACTTTCGCTTGTTGGAACAGCAGTCCCAAAAATGAGTATGTTTGTTTGGTTATTTGTTTAAAGTTGTGCGCGATATAATAATGCACAGTTAGAAAATTGCTGTTGCGCTTAAATTTGGGTTATTTATTGTTCAACTTTTTGATAGCAAAATGGGCGTTGATTAATGTGTATGTTACTTTCCGGTATATAGGAGGTAGGATCTATCCAGCCGCCTACGTAGCAGAAACTGAAAACTTAATAGACTTGTCTATCCAGTTTTCTATCGCTAGCCGGTTTTTGCCTGGGCCTAGATGCCGTAATTGTTTTTACAAACAAAACGTTATTCACATAGCTTAGTAAGATTTCAGCATACAGTGCATTACGAGAAAGAAAAATAAATAAAAATAAATAGAAGCTCTTCGAACGCGTATAATATGGGGCATATTGCAACGTGAATATTTGTTATGTAACACTGAATATTAACCAATTTGACTAATCAATGACATTTATGTAAATTACATTTTTAATTTGTATCATGCTAGAATGTAACTATCATTCAACTTTATTGAGGTAAACTTTTACTCGAATTACAGTATGCTTAATATAGGAGTATTCCTGTATAAAATTACTTATATGAAACTAATCTATATCAGATCCACCATGGTACCAATAATATACCATGGTTTGTAAGAATGTCTGTGTTTGCTCGGATTCCGCAGTCCGCCAAGACGACTTCACATCTTCCACATTTAGCTTGCCGCTGCAAGTAGGAAAGAAGTATTACCTGTTAATACTGAAATGTGGCAAGGCGGGTCATCGGAGGCTGTGACTGAACGAGTCGCTCTTGGTGCTGAGACGGTTTGCCTCTGACCTACACACAGACTTGGGATAGGGCCCACCGGAGGAGTCCCCCATAACTAGCCTGACGAGTAGCCAGGCCGCTTAGGTGGTTGCATCGACGTGTTGCCCGACCCTTTCCCTATCTCCTCGCCGCTTTAACCGTTTCAAAAAAAAAGTATATAATACATCACCTTTATTACCGCACTGTCAGCGGCTTTCTTCCAATCTCCATCAGCAGGTATGAGATAAATTTGGATATAAATGTGTGTTCTGTGAATTTATCAAAAGCGAAATCGACGAAACTTCAATATAGCAAGATTGAAGTTTTGGGAATCCAAAGAGTTCTTCCATTTTTGAAATGGTTCTGAATCATTGACTCGGATGACAGCTTGGATTGAATTTTAGAAACGGATGTTGCTTGTTGGCTTTTGCTTCGAGTGTTGTAACGCTTGCTTGAAGTTTTGCGTCCTTTACTAGCTACACCTACGATTGAACGCTAAAGGTGTACATAACGCTTGCTTGACATGACGCGCTTTTCCCCCTTTCCATAGTCATGCCTGCGAAACGTGCGGCGTTTGAATAATGTTTGACGGATTCCAGGAATTCCTAAAAAACCGCAAGGCAACGAGTGTCAGACAGGCAGTTCTTTGAGGTAAGGCTTTACATCGCGCTTTACCCGTGTAGACCGCGTAAAAAAAACAAACAAATGATGGGAAAATTGACGAATGAGTTACGTGAAGATGCATCGGATTGCGTATAAACACGTCGAAACAATCGCGATAACTGTCCCTATTTTTTGGGCTCGCTCAGCTATTAATTTCGTCATCCTCGCCATTATCTCTCCTTTTGTTTCTATCCAAGACACTATCAATTTTTAAGGTACTGGGCTTGGGATTCGTTTTTTGTTTGTAAAAGTTCTCCACTGTAGACGTTCCAATGGTACCCCTTCCCAAGGTCTTCGATCTCGTCTTAACCTTGTAACACATTTTGGACAAACTAATATCGTCCAATTTCCTTTTGCATCAAAGAGGCTTTATTAAACTCGCTAAAACGTCTCCCTCGTATGGTTTGGTTGCTTTCATCGAGCTAGATGCACGAAAGGCAGTATGCAATTTGCAAACATCGCAACTCTTGGTCGCAAACACCAAAGCGAAGAAGAGCAAAAGCACAAAAGCTTTTGCAACTTTGTAGAGAAATATCTGCAAATGGAAATCAATTAGCATTCTTCTCTGTTTGTCATAACAAACCATATTTTCTGAGCAACCGTTTTTGGGAAGAGTACAAGTGCCTTGTGTGCAGCTGTAAATAGACTCTCTTTTGCGATTATTTTCAGGAAATACGCAGCAAGTGTTTTTGTTTTTTGGTGAATGTGAATTCGTCTTGCCTTTATACACGAATGCTAGTCGCATTCGCGCACATAGAAATACGGTAATTAACCTTTTTGCTATGCTGGTTGTTTTTTAAAAACCGACTAATATTCCTCACTTTCGCCTCACCAAATGTTTATCAACTAAATTAGTTGATTTGTTTGCCCCATGAATACGATCGCTCATGAATGACACGGGACAAATGGTCAGCGCAGTTGCTGTTCTAACACCTCCCCCCTGCAGCGTAACATATCCCTGCCGTCAAAGTTTGTGGTCATATTTGGTCAGTATCAGCAGTATCACATGGCACGGGGATCGTTCACCTTTCGACGAAACTTTATTATTATTACTATTATCCCCTCGAATAACCCATTTTTTATACGTAGCACGTTAAACAAAACGTTTGATAACTCAGTGTGCACACTTTTACAGTATGTGTAAGCGATAGAGTGCATGAGGAATGTTGTGAATTTTTATGATATTATTATGTATCTTGATAACTTTTGGGTTCCTCCCTTTTTCGCTTCTTAATTCTAAGTTTTTTAGCTTTTAGAATACATTCTAGTGAGTATGTTCTATCTCTTCTGAACCGAAAATGACGAGAAACCTTTTTTTTCTCCACGGCTGTCCATTACCATTGTCTTTCCCACTATAGTATCATTCACATTGTAGCTCTATATTCCACGTTCTCTACTCTCCATTTATCGCCAATAGTACTGTTCTCTAGTACAATTTCCCTATCCAAATAATCAATCTTCATTTCCAATCTAAACCAATTGAAATTATCCACATGACTCAAATCAAACTTTAATCCCTCCACTTCGCTTTCGAGATACATTCTGATCTCTTCTCCAAACTTGTCTAATATGGTATATCCAACAGATCTGAATGGTTTTACAGCCTTTGCAACGATTGTCTTCAACACTGTTTCTTCATTCTCGGACGACAAGACTGTGATATGAGGTGCTTGTTGGTTTTTGCGGAAATCTATTCTTATGGAAGATTGGAACTCGCTTGCGAGGATGTACAAGACTTTTTCGAGCGCTTGTGTGAAAAGAGTCAGGCGGTGTCCAGCAGCGCGATGAGTAAACGAGGAGAAAATAGCGTGAATGGGGAGTTGAAAGTAGTGCAGTTCGGAAAAGAGCTCTTCACGGGTTACGCGTGGGCGATAGGGAAAGGGTGTGGATGATTGCGAGTGAATATGTGTATGAGAGGAAAATGGATACGATGAGGATGATGAGGATGATATGGAGGAAGAGAGAAGTGACGATGAGGATAGCGGAGATAACGGCGATGCAACGCTGCTACTATTGCTGCCATTCCTGTCTGTATGCCCGCTATCGCTACTGTTCGCTACATTCCATACTCCTCCACATACACACTTTGCCTCTTCTTCTTTCCACGACAGCTTTCCGGTGCGATAGAATTCTAGGATATAATAAAAGGCATGCCCGTTCCTATCTATAAAGTACTCGTTATCGTCTGTTTTGTGTAGGAGAGATAGATTACGATCTGCGAACATTGTACCAAGGAGAGTATTAGGGTATGCGGTTAACGTTGAACGGTAGGTTTCATACTGAAGCCGTTGGAGTAGGGGGATTATAGGTATTGTTGTTAGTATTATGTATATATGGTTTTGTTATATTTATATTATATTACATTACATTATCAGCTTGCTCTTTTTTTCGCATTGCCTTGTCATTTCGTCTTCCCCCTTTTTCCTTCTCTTCGTGCTCACCTTAATCCCTCCAACGTTGAGTATGATTCTCTTGTTATGTTTGATATTGATTTTACTGTCTTGAATGACATCGTATTTTCTCTCCTTTATCTCTATCATTATGATATCCGATTATTCTGTACAGTGATTCGACTTGGTTCTGCAGGAGCGAATGCGACTTGCTTATAAAGGGGAGTTTTTGAATCAAACTTTATTCTGTTGATTCATGTGAATAAACAGTATAAATTATACAGAGATAATGGGAGTCATAACACATACTCCATTAATTTGGTTGGTACCGTTCGAGTCACATTCGAGTCACATTTTCGGATTGCACTGAACTTTGATCGCCAGTATGTAGAAATAAACATAGAAATCCGAACGTTAATTGCATGTATGGATCTCCTTAGTACTTATTGTATAAATGATTGAACTATTCAGGAGCTCGATTTTGTCTTCGTTTTACGCCGAGACTGCAATCACCTGATGCCGTTCGGCAAAAACAGTATAGCGAGGATAACATTTTCACGTTCATTTATTTGTTCCGATTTTTCCTATATTAATGGAGTGACATGCGTGAGAATTATTCAAACGGTTGTCCGTAACACGGGTCTGCTAATACTAAGGGAGTGATTGTGTATGCATGCCTGATACTGCAACAAAAATACCAAACTGAGCATAATGACCCTAAAAAGGGGCCAGTTAATATACGACTCACAATTTCTTTTTTTTGTTCTATTCTTTGTCAAGAGACAATTGTGTATGATAGCATCGCACTTTTAATGAGACTTTTTCGCTAGTGGGAAGTCTCTGAACCCTAAAAACAACGAGCAATCGTCATACAATTCGCTTGAATTGATTCATATTGTTAATGGGTTACGCCAGACTCTTATGTGGCAGCTACTGTAGCACATTCTAAAGAGGGAATGACGACAAACCTACAAGGACTAGCCTGTTCGTGACCAACTGGGAGCTTTGACATTAGGAAAGCATACAAATACAGCATAGTAAGAATTATTATTGTGTAACTATATGTGTTACGTAACTTTTGGATAGCGAGTTATATCTGAAAGTTCTATCTGACTAATAGCAGATGAAACTTCCAAGAAAATTTTGAAACCATTTTTTCCAACTGGCCTTACTTTAAAGGCGTGAATTTTCAAAATGCATAGTCGCAAGTAATAACAATCATCTGCATTGAAGTGTGACCGATAGGAAATGTGAGCGAACTGATGTTACGCTGTATGAAGAAATGAGAGAGAACTATTATCGTTTTCTTTTTAATTTAATATTTATCCGAGTTTCCCGCCTGAAAATCGACATTCGGTATGCAATGACAAAGCTCTATTCTCCAAGTCTAAATTATAATTAGCCACATTTGAAGAGAGGATGTGAGGGCATCTTATGTTGACATGAGATTAACCTTTGACATTCCACGCAGTGAGTCCCTTTATAGATGTTTGGATATCAAATAATGTATGCGAGTCGACGCGGAGATATATGTTTACGAAAAGTGATAGCCAAAGTCACAAGCGAGTCAAAAATTCAAAATTCAGGTGAATCGTCATGAGGATGCAATTGGGTATACTGTAACGTACGACTTCTCTCCAATAGCTTGTTTCTACGTAGCTCTAAATTATTATTGTTGCATGATCAACCCTTTAAGTGCGCCTGTAGCCTCAACAAGTCCGGTTTTTTTGTTCTGGTTCAGTAAACATGTTATTCACTGAAAATCATGCCAAACTTGGGAAAACCGTCAGGCACTATGATGTAAAAGGTTTGACAAAATATTTAATTATTTCTGACCGGTTTCATTATTGGACTGTTTATTTTATTATCATTACCGTTACGTAATATATACGATTTAGAACTGTAGCTTTTCGTTAATTGTTAGAAATATGGATACATGACGTTAATTAAATAGTTCCTGCCGATTACTATTACCGTATTCCTCCGACATGTATACCCCCCTCCCCCCCGTGAACTACCCTGCAGCATTTTTGAACGCCAAATTTTGATATATACCCGGGTATTAGTTATAATATGTGAGTTGTACGCTACTAACAACGTGCCAATAAAAACAACCAAATATTATCGCCTCCGACTTTTTCATTACTTCGGAATCAACGAGGCCACATACTAGGTCAAGACATGAGACCCGGGAGACATAAGAAAAGTTACTATTAAGCAATTTCGAATTTTATAACAATATCTAATAATGCGTTAATCGTGACCAATCATTATGGAATTATCTGCAGCCAATAAAAGTTTAAATAAACAAATTGAGACATGTACCCCCACCCTAATGAACAAGGGAAATACTTATTAGCTAGACTTTATAGTCTTTATTAATGTTTTTACATTGCGGTTACAAATTATGGCGCTAAAAAACAACAAGAATTTGTTGTGAACGTGGTAAGCGGAATACGAGAATTCGCCTCGTTACCACTTCATGATCGATGTGGTAAACAAAGATGTGACAGTCGATGCCACAAACCAGTGAAGAATAAGATTAGTATTGACGTTGCTCTAGTTATGTACCCTTAGTGAGAAGAAGAAGAAAAACATAATAATAAAGGCAGTCTACGGTAATGATGATCGCAAGGCTACTATTACAGTGTGTCCTATGTTACATGCTTGCAGCAGCGACAGTTGTTGGTAAATTGTTGATTGAGATAAGCGTCAGTTTTGGTGACTTATATGGTGACGGGGTTATACACGACATATATATTACCTATTACTATATGGTGCGTCAAGTTCAGTATTGATTTCACGGTGATTGCATTGCTCGTTATGCCTTAATCGCAAATGTGGGGGTGGTCGGCGACGTTTGAGACGGGAGTGTATAAAGACCCATGTGTTATTCTTGAACATCTTTGTGAGCTGGCTTTAAATATCACAATCATGCAAATTGTACTGTAATACTGAGGGGGAAAAGCTCAAATTATGGGTAGACTTTTATTTTATTTATTTACACATATATATTTTTAATTTTAGTCACAAGATTATATCGATTAAACTACTTGTAGTAAGTTGGAATTTAGCAAAAATTGAATAAACTAATCAAGCCCTGAAAGTCGAAAGAGATGAATTGGTTTAACTTTAACCAGTTCGTGCTTTCTTCCTAGTGGGTGAATGTATCATCCGTGGGTCATTTTTGATCTCATTATTATCATCCCACGGATAGTCTTGTATTGATTCCGAACTTTCGGATAATAAAAACTAATAACGGAAATGTTAGCTTCATATTAATATATATGGGCCTTCTCAAATTTGGGAAATCGATGATAAAATGGAAGTTATTTGGTGAGGGTATCAAGGGGCATCCCTAAATTGGAAATTGTTTATTTTTCATATGAACATAATTCAAACTTTTGCCTGACATCTCATGATCGATGTGATCTGACGAGAGCAGTACATGGGATAGAACATATTAACTTGAGTCAATAAATTTTTTTTTGCAATGCCCAAGAAGCAAAAAAACCTTGGATCCTTTATTATACAAACACCCACAACGTATGCGGGGAGGGTATCCAGAATGGCTTCAATAAATCGTTCAGTAAAATATGCAACTGATCCTTGGCTAACACCAAACATTTGTTCTAGTTGGCGATATCCCAGATGATTTGCTAATCGTTGAATCACAATGCCAACTTGAATTTCAGTAGGAGTTTGAGGTGGATAAATAGTTAGGATGTTGTTGTAGGATACTAAGCAGTCGATTGAACGTAGATCGCAAAATGCGAAAATGAGATTTAAAACTATTATACTCGCTCTCGTTATTAAAATATGAAAATATGTCTGTCCAATAAGCCATTGTTTTGGCCAAAGTAAACGAGGTGTACGATTAATCCTTGACATTAAAATGCTAATTCTATATCAATTAATCTTGCATCAAATTCTTGTTTAGATTTTATTACATCTGTTACTATGAAGGCAATAAGTCTTTCCGGCTGATAGATAACATTATCATTAACAGTATAACAGTCTCATATGGAAGGTCGTTATTTATGCGCGTATGCCACATATGAATTTTATTACATTTATCTGCATAAAGGTAAATATGGTATTACTCTATTTAGAAAGCTGTTGAGAGCTGATGCCCCTACTTTGTACGACTTCCAAATTTGATCGGGGCATCAAAGCTATTGAGAAGGCCCTAATACTAAATCTGATAAATTAATTAGGGCACTGGCCAAAATGTCATCCCATTCTTCCACCATAATTCTCTTCCAACTTAATAATTTTTTGGCATGTACTTTTTTAAACCAACTCCCAGAGGTGTTTAAAATTCAACCCATAGTTTTCTTAGACATTTTCTTTAAAGGAGTATTTAGCCATGTGATTAGTGTGTTTTAAAAATGATGTTCTGTTAAAAGTTCCGTTTTCTCCCAACATTGTGTTTACTTCTGGAAGATGTTTTTCTAATATTTTAATGCAGAGTTTACTATCCATTAATGACATGATTTGGACTCAAATTGGGTGAGTTATATATGTACATACCAAATTTTTTTTCCCTTGACGCTACATGCCCTGTAATTATTCTGTGGGCTGTTAACTGACCGTAAGTATGAAAGCTTAAACGTTGCTCGATAGCGTGGGACCACGCTAATAGTAATCACTATCCCTGTCGGAAGATAGAACATGAAAAAGGAAATTATCACATCAATCAATAATAGTTCGACGAACAAGCGTTTTTCTTGTGAGCTATTGTCATTATTATGATTAATTCTCAATTCAATATTGCTTCTCTTTGTCGCGTCACAATTCCTTTATTCCGCTTGTACGGACAATCATAACTGCTCATAGAACTGTACCATAAAAACATCAACGAGCTAAGGGTGGAGGTTCAGCTGGCTGCATTAGATTTCTGGCGGTTCGGGACAATTATATCGTTATAAGAATCATCGGTAAACCTTACTTACTCCATTATACAGATATGTCTGCCTTATGGCTTGTGATAATCGGCAAGGATTCTGGGGGGGTATAGATTTGACTTACTCGCATTAGACGTCAGGAATTGCAAGGGGTCCGTATTATTTCATCGACAATCATTTCACGACAGTACATTTCGCCGACAATTAACTACCAAAAAAGGATAACTTCGAAATAATGTTGGTGAAGATTTGTCGGTGAAGATTTGTCGGTGAAATGATTGCCGGTGAAATGATTGTCGACGAAATGATTGCCTCCCTTTGCAAAGTATGCATCACACAAATATCCATTTTCATAGATCAGCCTCATATGTTGGATGTTATTAGACAGAAAGGGATGACGGTAAAGGAACTTGAAAGTTTATCGCAAACATTTTAAACATTAGCGACTGGATACTTTATATAACTGTAAAGATAACGGACAGATTTGAACCATTGTATGATTATGACAACGTTAGTAAATATGACGACAGCCAAGTCTTGCAGTTCTGAATAGTAATGATTACTTTTTAGACAAGCCAAGCGAAATTCAAATGCACAAAAAAAAAACACTTGACTTCGGAAAAAGATAGCAGCGAAATACTCAAGTGACCTTGTAAACTTGTCCTAAGCAGAATCTTCTTCACAAACAAGTCCTTTCGTCTATACTTTATCAAGTTCACTGGTTCTTACGATGTACTATTCGAAGAAAACTATAGTTTTTGTCTTAGACAGGAGAATCCTTTTCGAAAAACTTTACATTTCAAAACCGTAAGTATGCCGTTATGTAGTGCTCAAAAAGAGCTTTCAGACAAGCCAAAAAATTTTGGATATTAATATAGATGATGTGGCAGAAAAGTAGTATAAAAGATATTGTATAGTGATTGCTTTATCGAAAGTGCTGTCTTCTTTTCTCCCGTTCAACTTTTTGACATGAACACGTTCTATAATCTTTTATTCGGAAACTAAAGATGTGGAATAATGTGTCGGAAACTTGCGACATGTAAAAATTTTATGGGTAAGGGGGGTGAGGAAATGTTTACACAAATGAATCCTGCCATACAAACAATCTCTGTGTGTTTACAATAGTAAGTATATTAATTTATAATATATGCAATATAATTATAAAAGTTTATATTATAATAATAGAACATTAAATTCATTCCGTTGAACAAAATCAGCACATGACCCCCTTTTTTTTTTTTGAGTTTATATTCGAGTTTTGGATTTCTTTATTGGGCCACATGGCGGTATTCTGCTAAACTTCAATCGAATATAAACCATCTATTGAGTAAGGCATATAAATACGAGTACACGAAATCTCAATCATTAAAATCAAAGACTTCATTCTCAATCAAGTCAGAATATAATATAATATTTTCGTCCTGCACTCTCCTCCGAATAACGTTGATATAATGAGCGAGCCGAATAATGTGAACAACGATCATGTCAGACCTTTTACCAACGTCTGTCAATCATCTTACCCAGATGACTTTAATTTTGATGACGCCAATCCTCCAATTCACCAATATCATACTCAAAGTTACCTTCCTTCTACCTCCCTTTCTCTCTCCGATAATGTCGATATGTCTATTACTATGAATACTATGGACTGCAGAAATACCACCGGAAATTATACAGGCGATGCATCATGCAATCCCTCGGATTCGTATTATACCCACATTAATGGACGGTTGAATTCACCGAATCTCGATCAAGCCGAATCCCACGCAAACAGCTCTTGTCCGCTCCCAGTACCTTTTCAAACAGTCTGTGACCCTTATTTCGATACGATGAACGACGGTCCGACAGGTAATTTTCAACATCTCGGTACTAATTCATCCATCTCATACATTCTTACGCACGAGCCCACAAACTCCGGATATGTTTTTATGAAAGTAGAGTATACTCAATTAGGCAGGATATCAGCTGCTGATATTGACAAAATATTAGCCCTAACTCAAATGTGAGAAATAATTCATGCATGTTTGACGATAATGCATGTATCAAATGACAGGGGTTTCTTGATGGGGAGGTTCATATCAATATTAGAAAGTATCAATGTTTTAACTTTTCGGTGTTCAAACATATATGTGCTCAATAAAGAACCCGAGATCTCAATGGTTTAACTTTATAAAGTTTATAAAGACCACGAAAACTCAATGTTTTAACTTTTGAACAGTGTAAAGTCAGTGATTGTTTTCTTTTGTAGATGCTTCCTCTCAATAATAGTTACTTTGATGCTCGGACTGTTGACTGACCACAAGTATTATCGTCCCTGGTACACAAGTAATACAAATACAGCTTAGCATTTGCTTGTGAGCTATTGTTATTATTATGATTTCAATATTGCTTCTTTGTTTCGTTTGTACGGACAATTACAACTATTCATATCGAACAACGCTAAACTATATTCGTCTACTTTTTTATTTTCCCTTAGTTCTCCAACATTCTGTTCAAAGAAGACATATGGTCGGTGACTAGAGTTTCTATCTGTTCCTAAACTACAACTCTTCGCAGTTATGGTTCTGCACGTGACTTAATGCCAAAAATTTCTGTACCACTGCATCAAATTAAACTTTCGTCCATTGCTTTTGTTTCACAGATTCGCTATAGATGATAGGACGGGCTTGAAATATAGGAAGAACGTAAGTTGTATGGAATGTTGAAGAAAAAGACAACATATAAGAAGTGTTGGGAAATTACCTAATTCCAGAATCGTAATAATTCATTGCATTCCATTCGATCTAATATGTTTGTGTCAGTTATTGTCTCATATATTAAAGGTACCGACGTCGTCAGAAACGCTAACAGCATCATTCGTGCCACAGCCAAAACCATTGCAAAGTCTGGTCAAGTTCAAAGAAAGGAAATCAATGATCGGGTGAAAGATTGTGGTTTCATGTGAGGAACACATTGCTTCCTTCTCCTATACTCGTCAATATGTCTAGCACTTGGACAAGAAACTCTCCATCCTTTGCGCACAGCTTGCCGAGCGCACCGAACAGTTGAACGAAGCTCAAAAACAATTATTATAACGAAAATCACGAGGGAAGAAAGACATGTAACGTCAGGGACTGAGAGTCAACCAGCTTCACCTTCGATCACGAATGAGGGGATAATGCGTCATATTGTAAGTTCTTTATAGCGAGGGGGGACTAACGGTTTGAAGAGTTGGGGTTTTTGTTGCTAGTTTTCAAATATACACTGACACAAATTTGCGTTGTACTCGCGCGTTATTTATGGACTCTACTTCATTATTGTTGTTCCAGCTTCGCTTTCGAACCTTCTTTCAGATACGGAACCAAAATCGGTCTCTTATCAAGAGCGTGAAAAAGAACAAGCATTAAAGATTCTGAACTTTTGAAGCTACGGTGCTCGAAAAACAAGAGAAAGTATTAAAAGAGATTAAGAGAATGGATCGGGATGGAAAAGAGACAAGGCATGAGTATTGAGTATTTGAAGAACGTTGTCTTGAAGTTTCTGGAGAGCAGTGCTGGAGAACGGGAGGTAAGAGAAG